CCAGTTGTACCATGTGAGAACTAAGCACATTGATGTCAGGTATCACAAGATCAGAGAATTGATTACTTCTAGTGAGATACTTTTGCAGAAGATTCATACTGATGAGAATGCAGCTGATATGTTGACCAAGTCGATTACTATCAACAAATTCTTGCATTGCTTGGACTTGTTAAATGTTTGCAGTTGCTAGAGAAGCATGGTGGCCCAACCCACTTCTGGTATGTAAGAATCTCCATGATGTATTTCTCTTAAGGGGTTGGATATTCGCCAAGATGAAGATTTGTTAGATGTAGCTCATATACCATAAAGGGGCAGATGCTTGAGTGGAGCGGAGCAGAGCAGAAGATTCTGTCCAAATCAGGGGAGTTTCCTTACGTGAGTTGGGGGTGAGGTACAAGGGTAATTTGGTCATTACATATTGTACCTCAGGGTTTTCTAGGGTTATAAATAGACATATATGTAACCATAGGTTTTATCTTATATTCCGTATCCTGTACTCTTTTGCTGGATTAGTGGAAAAGTCATCGCTCTGCTCCTGAGGACGTAGACATCTTTGCCGAACCTCGTTAAATCTCTTTGTGCTCTTCTGGATTTGTGTCGATTCTTGTTTTTCGTCGCCCTAATTTCTCAACAAATTCTTATTTGTCCATGAATCAGAGAGAGAGAGAGAGAGAGAGAGAGAGAGAGAAAGGGGGAGAGATGAATAATAATGAAAAGTAAAACATTTTGCATTATTTCTTTCTTATAAAATGATCTACCTATTTATAAGGGATATTGTACAATATATGATATCATATTTCTATCACTATTTTAATGAGAGTTGTACAGTGTATTCGTGAGATTTTATATGCATGATGCTCTTAAATATGAGACATGATATGTACTTGTCCTGATTTGGCTCATGTTGTTAGTCAAGTCTGAAAATACATGGCTAAACCTGGAAGGCGATATTGGGAAGCAGTCAAGTGGATTTTTATGTATCTAAAGGGTACTGCAGGACATGAAATTATTTTTGGCAGTCAGCAGAATGATCCTTCAGTTGTAGGGTACGTTGATTCAGACTATGCAGGTGATTTAGATGGCAGAAGGTCTAAATTAGGTATGTGTTTACTCTTGGTGGAGGACCTATATATTGGAAATCAACAATTCAATTTATTGTGGCATTATATACAACTGAAACTGAGTACATGATAGTAATTGAAGCTGCAAAAGAAGTTTTATGGCTTGTTGGGATAGTAAAGGAACTGGGCATTGAGCAAGGTGGAGTTCAGTTGCATAGTGACAGTTAGAGCGCTATTTATCTGGCTAAGAACCAGTTGTACCATGTGAGAACTAAGCACATTGATGTCAGGTATCACAAGATCAGAGAATTGATTACTTCTAGTGAGATACTTTTGCAGAAGATTCATACTGATGAGAATGCAGCTGATATGTTGACCAAGTCGATTACTATCAACAAATTCTTGCATTGCTTGGACTTGTTAAATGTTTGCAGTTGCTAGAGAAGCATGGTGGCCCAACCCACTTCTGGTATGTAAGAATCTCCATGATGTATTTCTCTTAAGGGGTTGGATATTCGCCAAGATGAAGATTTGTTAGATGTAGCTCATATACCATAAAGGGGCAGATGCTTGAGTGGAGCGGAGCAGAGCAGAAGATTCTGTCCAAATCAGGGGAGTTTCCTTACGTGAGTTGGGGGTGAGGTACAAGGGTAATTTTGTAATTACATATTGTACCTCAGGGTTTTCTAGGGTTATAAATAGACATATATGTAACCATAGGTTTTATCTTATATTCTGTATCCTGTACTCTTTTGCTGGATTAGTGGAAAAGACATTGCTCTGCTCCCGAGGACGTAGACATCTTTGCCGAACCTCGTTAAATCTCTTTGTGCTCTTCTGGATTTGTGTCGATTCTTGTTTTTCGTCGCCCTAATTTCTCAACAAATTCTTATTTGTCCATGAATCAGAGAGAGAGAGAGAGAGAGAGAGAGAGAGAGAAAGGGGGAGAGATGAGAGATAAATAATAATGAAAAGTAAAATATTTTGTCATTATTCCTTTCTTATAAAATGATCTGCCTATTTATAAGGGATATTGTACAATATATGATATTATATTTCTATCATTATTTTAATGAGAGTTGTACAGTGTATTCGTGAGATTTTATATGCATGATGCTCTTAAATATGAGACATGATCTATAATACAAGTCATGATTAAAGAGTACAATGCAAAATACTTTGCTATATAATACACATCATGCTATTGAAATAACGGGGCATTTACACCCATACCATACAATTCCTTTGTATTTACATATCAACACCTAAGCAATCATATTTGCACGCAGAACACTCAAAATTTTAACATCAAATAAAAAATAGCAGCATCTCCATCTTCTTAAAAGTGAAATACGCATTTTTTTTTTGTACAAGTTTACACGACAAATATTATAAGTATATAAGTATAAAATCCGGTTGCTAGATATGTGAATACATAATCATTGTGGGGTATGCATGTAAATTTTCCAAAAATTAATTCTACAGGATAACCACTTGACCACCTAATTGCAAGCTATACATAGCGTGTCACCTAACAGTCTCAAGGAAATTTTTGTTCATTTATATGCTTCATTATTCCTTACTATCTTTTCTCTTAAAAGTAACATTTCAATTCTCAAATGTGTATTTTATAATATTCAATAAACAAATCATACAATCAATGTTAAGATTTTAATTCTGAATAATTTGATTAGTTTGGCATATCAACCCATTAGTTGTTGGTTGTCGATAGGCCAGTTCGGCAAGTTAATGTAGTTGGTCAACCCAACAAGTCGATCAAGTAACCGGTACACGACAGATGATACTCGACGGGTCAGTCTAGTTGGTTATCCTGGTGGGGGTGTTTTGGTAAGAAATAGGTTATCTAGGCCCATTGAGGTTGCCAACACCTTTTCCCACCCATGAAAATCATTTATGAACTATATGATGAAATGTTTTTGAGATTTTGAATCAATTTATTAAAATTCTCCTCTGAAAAATTATATAGAGGCCCCTCACACTTCACTTCTAGTGGAAGAAGAAAATAAAAGTGAGCAGATAACTAAAACATTACTTTTATAGAAAATTTATAGAAAAGTGCATGTAAATGGTTACCAACCGTTGCTAACCATCATGAACAATTGTTACACCAATTATGACCATTGTAGACATCAGTTATAGCTTCTCCAACTAACTGTTGTTGTTGTAGCTATCAACTACAGTTTTAGTAGCCAATTACAACCATTATAACCACCAACTGCGACTTTTATAGTCAATTAATGCTATTGCAACCACCACCACCACCAACTATTGTTCATTAGTCTGATTATAATTGTTGCAGCAAAGTTACTATTATAAAGTTGTGATTATCAGTTATCTGATTATAATATTGCAATCACCACCACACCATTTAGGTTTTGTTTGAAGTAACTTCATTATTTAGTAAAGTTAT